CCATTTTCACCACAAACACAATGCTCCGGAAATGTTTTTATGGAAACGAAGATATTTTGACAAAAAAAAAGAGTTTCAGCCACTTTTCAAGAATTCATATTTTCGAAACCTTGTAACTCTGAAACGATGATATAAATATATATCGATATGCAGTTTTCACCAGTGAGTTTGTCAACATGTGAATTGATCAACAGCATCCACATCAGTTTTATTCTATCTACATATATAGTAAGGGAATAGGAATTTCCCTTTAAAAGTGTCCAGTTTGGCCCACCCTGTAGAAAAATTCGTTAACCACACACAGAGGGTTTCAGAAATATATACAAAAAACATCATATTGGGCCCTATTTCAGATGGCTACAACTCCCCAAGGAGCCATTTCTGGGCTCATGTTTATATGAACTTTTCTCAATATTTTTGTTTCTAGAATCTGTGTTTGAAATCTTCCTATGTAATTTCAGGACAACCTGTATAGCCTACAATACGGTGCTGTGAATCTAATAGTGTTCTAATTTTCCGGAATTCCATAACTATGGTTGCAGTGTATTCAATAATGTATAAATCGACCAAGTTGATCTGCAGACCTGAAATAAAAGTATGCATTGATTAATAGATTCAAAAGAAAGAAGGGAAGCTCAAAGTTATCCCCACTACTTTATTACTGATGTTAATCAATCAAGGGGACATTTTTCGAACTTATAAAAGTCAAAATGAAGTAGTAGAGATGACTTTGAGCTTTCCTTCTTCCTTTTGAAATATTCCACTCCACTCTACTAGAGATTAATAGATTGATCCATTTTTACTTGTAGAACGATCAATCATTTTTCGAACTGTTTTCCGTAATGATTATCACATTAGCACAAATCTACCACGAATAAAAAACGCATTCCAGCTTCTTCTAATAATTCTCATAACTAGCCTATTCGACCAGTCATTGCTTAAATCAAGTTATTATGATTTGAAGGGCAGATGAAGGGGTGAGTGGATGGGAAATAATCATTACTGACAACAGCTCGAATAGGTAATATAGATCAATCATCCTACGGGTGAGTCGATCAATCTATTAATTATTTTATCAACAAGCCCTATACCCTCACGCAATTTTGTTTGGAAAGTGTTATTTTCCCGCAACAATGCGAAAAAAACAAAGACATGATAATAACGCAAAATATAAGTGGTTGGTGATGGAATATGAAATGTTTAGTTTGTTTGTTGCACTATTAAGTATGTATGTTCAGAATCATCCATCAAATTGCACTATTCATTATGAAAATTGAGAATCATTGAAAAATAAAAATTGATTATAATAAAAATCCCCCTACAGATTTGGATTGACCTGATGGGAAATGATTATTGTTGTCATGCCAATCAAACCTCAAATAAGTTTGTAATTGTCGAAGTGACAGACACAGCGTTACTGTCATTTTTGATTCAGTGGAATTGCCACAATGTGATCAAAAACTTCTAGCTATAGGGTTTCGATACAGATGCGTTATTGCCAACGAAGTCTTAAGGAAGGTATGAGAAGCTATACACGCGTTGTATTGAATGGTGCAACAATGAAGAAATGAAAATACCGAATGAAGAATAAGTATTTTTGGCTCATTTCCTAGAAGTGTCTGAAACTTAGAGACCAAACACCTTAGGGGCCTGCACCTACATAACCTACATAATGCGTCAATAAACTGTAAGTTCACAATAGCTATAGGTCGCGTGCAAGAACTGTCAGATGACCGACCCTGGAGGCAAAACATATTTGTTTACAAGTGATCGAAATAGTTTTCCACAATTATTTTGGCATATGAATCGTATTTTTCTGCTATTCATCAATTCGCTAATGCCATCACATTGTGCTGTTGTAAAATGCACAAAAACTGCAGCGGAAGATGAAGAAATCCGGATGGTACATTATGATTTAAAAGTAAGTACCTACTATAGTCACTCACATAGTTTTCATTTTTGAAATTTGGTAATTTCTCTGATTTCTCATCGGAATTCCTTCTGCAATAGGATCAGCTGATAGAAATATACCTGAAATTTCTAGAATAATGCAACAAGATTGGATTCATGCAATCAATCGGTAGGACTGGTCTGACATGCTGACGATCGTGTGTGTTGTAGACATTTTCAATCTATTAGCAGCATTAGCTTGTATTGCAGAAGTGGCAGAAGGCAGAAGGAATTTTAATAAGGAATGACAACATTTCATAATGCTAACTATGTGAGATTACTATTTACCTGAAAACTCATATTCCCTAGTCTCTTGCTGCATTTTTTGTGCATTGTACAACAGCACAATGCGAAGGCATGCTTGAATTAATGAATAACGCAAGAAACACGATTCGTATGCCAAAATATTGTGAAAAACTATTTCAACCTTTTGATTCCTCTGTAACCAAATAAAAAAGTGAGGTTGTGATTTATTAATTCACAGAAGAATGAGGTTGTGTTTCAATATTTTGCCTCCAGGGTCGGTCTTCGTGCACGCGACCTATTACTAATTATTAGTAGATAGAGAATATATTCCTCTTGTTAGTTGTTCCTATTTGCATAAATGATTGATCGAACAGATCAATCAATTTCCTAGGCTTGTAGAAAAAATATTGTTCCTAACTCATGCGGAAAGTGTCTTTCCCGCACTCGACTGCTTGCCCGAACTCCGCTTCGCGTCGTTCGTATCAACAGCAGTCGCGTGCGGGAAAGAATAACTTTCCGCACTTGTTAGGAAAATAACTATTTCGCTATTGTCCTGGTATTGAAATGTTTTGCTACATCTGAAAGTGACATACATCAAGGCATACATCATGCTTTGTCCCGTGTGCATAGTCAAGAAACATATTTTTATGTAAAATCAACCCATGCAAGTCAAAATCTGTATTATAGTGTTTTTCAATAACATCATTCTCATATGCTGATCTTGTTTCAAAATAATTTTTTTTATAATTGACATGCAATGGTTAAACCTTCAGATTTTAACGGATCATTAAGACTTTGAAAGCACACATCAACTATTTCACCCCAGTTTTAAAGGAATTCTTCCCTTTCGACCTTTCGTGGCAAGACCGGGTCATCAATATTATATTTTTCTCCTTCTTTATCCACAGAAGCCCACAACTTTTCAAAACAATTACGCTGATTCTGAAGAATAGTCATTGAAACTCATATTTTCTCCATTGCATCTGACAAATTGAGATGAATTTTTCGAATGTTTGAATAAAAAATATAAATTATTACATCAAGCAACAAACAATTCAAAAGAGTTCATCTTTTGCATGAACATAATATAATAACATTATTTGTTCAAAACAAAACAATTTGGCTATGAGACCATGGTAACAGTTTCGCAAACCAGAACTTTACTATGGTTCTGGCGTCCCTACAACACAAACTTACATTTAAGTATGCCATACGATCCATTTCGAATAATCCTCCAGCTGTCACAGAAATTCTACTCTGCGACCTCATCAGTATCAAATTTATTTTTTTCTTGAAATCTTCTGTGTTCTCCTCCCATTGGCATTCATAAATTGCGTTATTTGATTCTTCAGACTAGAAGAATACCGCAGTTATGATATCAGTTCATTTTGTATAATGTATAATAATGGAATGATAAAGTTTCTAAGTCTGGAAATTAATAATGAATGATGCGTTCCTAATTAATTTAAGTACCAACTAAATTAGCAAAATAGTTATTTATTATACAAGGGAAAAAAGTAGTAGATTTTAGCTCCAGGTTGTGTTGTCTCCCGACGCGTAGCGGAGGGAGACAAAAAACCGTGAGCTAAAATCTAATATTTTTCCCGTGTATAATACACTATTTTTTTCTGTGACAGAAGGAAGGACGAATCAATAATGAGAAGATATTACATTATTTCGAAATCTGAAATTTATCGACGTGAAATTTCAAGTTTTTAACAGTAGGGACACCTGCGTTTTATAGGCATCTTCATCATTCTTTTGAAGTAATCAAATATCTGATGTCACTTCTGTCAGTTCAATTCTGTGATTTAATTTGAAAAAATTGCGAATTCAGTAGTTGTTTAGTAATATACGAAACCGCGAAGTCGAATGGAAGATAAAAGGACTTGCAGTTCTTTCTCGGAGACGGTATTATTGACTCATTTTTCGGAACTATAACACAACAAAAGCCATTAACAGAGTATATATATGTGATATATATCCGGGAAAAAAGTACTCACTTTTTTCCCACGGGAAAAAAGTAATTTATGAAAAGTGACATTTTATAACCTGCCAACAGAGATGAAATGCAAACTTTTTTCGAGAACGGTCCTGGATTTTCACGTTTCTGAATAAGTCAGTAGATTAGAGAGTAGTAGTGGAATATTCCATGAAGAAATCAGACGAATTGAAGAAGCTGTTGGAAAGTTATGACCAAAAGATGTGTTTGCCAAATCTCATAATTCACCCTATAAAAGCAGTGTAGAAGACACTTTTTGATGGACATTCGGTATTCCCTCCAGAAGCCTCCATTCGTGGTAGGAGTATTTACAGTTCCTCATGACTCACCCTGTATAAAGAAAATAAACTTCGTAATGCAATAGTTAATATGACTATTGACTATGCAGGAATGAGCAAAATAAAAAAAGCACCCTATATATAGGTACTTATGTCAATAACAAATATAGTAAGAGAGCAATAAGGCAGGATAAACCCTCTATCACCTTATCACCTATTGCCGTGTTTGTCGTTTTCCAATACCCAGTATATTAAGTACCTATTCGAAAGCAAAAATGTATACCTCATCCTGGAGAAGGCTAACAGGAATACAGGAAAATGACAGTTGAGATATAACGGTAATAATGAATATTGCTCCTTTCACTCGAAATCTGATTTCTTGCCCTCTGAAACAATAGGTTCATGTTATTCCATAACTCAAAGCGTCATATAACTATTTCCATTATACTGTACCATAATTTGCCCTCATATCCCATAGCAACGAATCAAGAAAAACCCTGTATAAGTACATTTCCGAAACTTACGAACTCGATATGGTGAGGAACTGCATGCTGACAACAATCATAGTATAAAAATATTGTACTAGGAAGTATCCGGAAAAGATTCTGTTTACTTTGTCGACAAATCTGCAAGAAAAATGAAACGATTTCATATTCATCGAATGTAAATAATGGGCGAGTGGACTGATAATGAATTTTTGCTTTTGGGTGTATGATAATAGTTATTTATGTAATAAGGATCATAAAGACGATCATTATGGTACAAGTCGTGAAAACTGAGTTTTAATCTTCTCCTGAAGATGCTAACATAGTTAGCGAAACACGTGTCGAGGCGTTAAAAAATCGGTTTGGTTAGTGGTAAAACAGTGTAGTGTGTAGTAATTGTTCTTTTACCATTTATAATAAATAGTTTTGTACATAGTTATGCATTTTGAATAAACTTTTTTGATCAAACCATTACATGTTTTCCTTATAGAATTTCATTATATGGTACTTAGTACCATAATGAGCTTCCGTATGTCATCAAAATTGAGTGACATTACGTTGTCATTATGACATGCCATCAGATAAATTGACATTTATGATGGATATATTGGTAAGTCATATTTCTAGATCATTATTCATCATATTAATCATCCGATTTGAAGAAGAATGTCAATTCTCAATTTCGGAGGATTTCATTCTTTATTTTTCATGTTCCCCTTTTGAATGTTCATCAGATATAATTCAATGTTCGACGTGGCAAATAGCCAGGAAAGTAGTTGTTTTCTGTTGAATATTCAGAATGATGTGTGTATATACATATTTTTGTCTGAAGGAGAATGCAAATTCTCAATTTCAGAAATTTTTATATTTTATTTTCAAACTCTTATCGTGTGTGTTCAATAGATATAATTCAATGTTCGTCGTGGCAAATAGCCAGGAAAGTAGTTGTTTTCTATTGAATTAACTGAAAAAGAGTAAATATTCTCATCACATAGAGAATGCGAATTCTCAATGTATTGCTTTATATAAATATATATCCATTTTTTGTATGTTCATAATTTATCTGAGAATATTTCCTTTTCAACACTGATAATGAATTGTTGTTATTCAATTACTCCACTATCTTTAGGAACCTACATTAATTTTTGCATCACTTCTCACGCTTTTTCTATGTAAATAATGAGTGTACTTATGCGTTGTTCGGAATTATTGCATTTCAGAGCTCATTTTAAACGAACCTTCATGGCCGCCATTCGACGATACGTCGAATGAATAGTGACATTAGTTTTTATGCTGTTTCGTTATTGGTCAGATAATCTTCCATACCCACTCATGAAGCAAGGTTGTCAACTCACCAATTATAATCAAGTTATCAAAAAGATGTTTCGAGTCATATATGTCGTTGAAAAAACATAATAGGAGGAACTCATGACATTATAGTTCATTCTTGACTTTTTCGAGCAACCAGCATGTCCAAATATGGATGTTGAAGAATTGGCAACATTGTGCTGAATGCTGAGAACTGATAGGACCACGCCCACAAGTCGTGCGCGGGGTTGTCACGTTCACCGATTCAAATGTGCTCAATTTCAGAAATGGTAAGTTGTATTTCAGAATTGGTAGGTTCAATATCATGAAAAAAATCCTTATATTTGTTCGAAATGTTTCCAATTGCATGTGAGATTAACAAACCATATTTGAAATATTCAACTTTTCAAAAACAATTTAATAATCCACAGATGCCTTCCATCTGTATCGTTGGAAGATAGTGGCGTTGCACATGATTATAAGAAGGCAAACACATTTGAGGTGTTATCATTTTCATTGAATGATCTGCACATTCTTCAAGACATCGCAGTCTGAATTCTATCTGGTTGAGCAATCTGTTCGGATCTCCAGCTATGACCCTTTGGCGATGCTCTTGCAAGAAGCTCTTCACTTCTGACTTGAAGGCACCCCATATATGTTCAATCTGATTCAACATAGGGCTCTCAAACACCGTTCCATCCGCAGTAAACAATCTTCTCTTTTGCAATTAAAAACATTTCAAACATATAAAAGGATTTCATCTTCTGAAATTGAACCTGCCAATAATAATTCTGAAATACAACTTACCATTTCTGAAATTGAATGGACTTTTTCTGAAATTCATCTCACCGATACTGAAATTGAGTTTACCATTTCTGAGATCAAACTAACCAATTCTGAAATCGAGATTACTTTCTCCGAAATATAACTCACCGATTCCGAAATTGAAGTTGATAAGGTATAGTTCCCCAAGGGCAAATCATTGCGACTATACCCTTGGGAAACATGCCACGATTTTTCAGGCTGAAGTATTTGCAATACTTGCATGTGTTCGAGAGAATATCGAGAGGGGCTATCACAGCCAGCAAATCACTATATGCACTGACAGCCAGGCGGCGATCAAGGCGCTCACCTCGTATATTGTGACCTCCGCCTTGGTGTCAGAGTGCATAGATAGCCTACAAAGGCTGTCAGCAACGAACAAAATATGTCTTTTGTGGGTCCCTGGACACTCAGGGGTACCAGGTACCGAAATGGCCGATGGTCTGGCCAGAAAGGGGGCGAAGGGTTCAGTTATTGGCCCAGAGCCAATCTTAGGGCTCACTCGATCCTGGAGCAACTTCAGGATGAAGGAAATCCTGACGGAAAGGTTTCAGGACAGCTGGAGAAAGGCTCCTGGAAATAGGCAGTCCAAACTCCATATATGACCTCTTGGCTTTAAACAGGAAGGAGCTCAAACTGGTGGTGGGCCTTCTGACAGGGCACTGCCACTTGAACAAACATCTCAGCACGATCGGGATTGTGGAGGATCCTGAATCCTGAATGCAGATGGTGCCTAGAGGATGAAGAGACTTCTACTCACATCCTCACTGAATGCCCGGCAGTATAGTGGCAGCGAGGGATATCCATTTTGGGAGCAGTATCCTGGACCCAGAGGATGTTAAAAAGATTTGGCCTAGAAAGTTGGTCTCTTTTGCTCGCGAGATCGGCCTTCTCCATGGCTGACTTGCGATCCCAGGAATGTGCTCTAGTGTGAATTAATATAATTATTATATTCACAAATTTATTATAAGCAATAAATCACAAATCATAAGGGAACATTTTGAAACAATAGAATTTTTATTGCTAATCAGGAATATTACCAATACTTGATTGAGAATTGAACCCTATGCTGGAACAACGTTGTAACCGCCAAGATCTATAAAAACGGTATTTCCATGGAACAAGGCTGTATGCGACCTATACAATCCGCTGTCATGATAGTGGGGGCATAGGAAATTTTCATGGTGATTTCTGGTGTCATTTCGGTTAGTCAAGTTTGGAGATTTTGTGGAACAACGTTGTATGTGCATCATGGCTTCTAGTTTCCTGCGCCCTTTCTTTGTTTACATGTGCGTTGGGTCTGTAGTTTATCGTCGTTATAAGCAGAAATTGACGTTTCTGTGACAGACTCAATTATGACACAACTAAATAATAATTAAAATTCTTTTCTTTTGATCACTTGGCTTCATTTTTGTTCTTGAAACAACGTTGTAACCGCCTTAGTTCCCTGGAATAACGTTGTAACCGACGTGGATGTATAACGTTGTTTGATCGAAAAAAGAAAAATATGCTCATAAATCATAATTCTGCATGTGGTCAAGTCTATTGTGCCAATCATCCAGTCAAGTTCTTCCTTGCTAGCCATATCAGGCAAATATTGACTTCATTTGATGGAACAGTCGATCATATACGGTTTTTTTCGATTTACCAAAATAAACATTTTTGGCGTTTACAGCGTTGTTCCAGCATAGGGTTCAATTGATGAATTATTGAATAACTAATATTTCTGAAGTACACAATCGTATTTCAACACATTGGCAACTGTACTATGATCTGACCCTACTCACGAAAATGTGAGGTCAGTTTTTCCAGGCGATGAATTTCTAGCCGTTTAAAATTGCCGTGGCATTATTGATGATGACTTTAGCACTCAAAAATCGACCAAAAAATTCTCAAAAATTATGAAATTGAATGGTATTTGAGTGATGATTCTATTCAAAAAATAAAAAAAAATTGTCCACTCGCCTATTCTCCGCTTCCAGCTATGGGTTTAACAGGATCATGGTACATTCCCCATTTTTTCTTTGAATTTAGGGATAAGTGTTTGAAATTTGGAATAACCCATTCGTTACGTTTATACAGGGTGACAATATGCAAGCGACCAGCACACAATATTTCTTTAACTGATGACACTATACAGGGTGATTCATTGGGAAATGCGCATAGAGTAAGGGTAGACGGAGGACGCCGAGGTGCTTCTAAATAGTACATATTTCATGGGTCTATCATTCTGCGTAGCTGAGATACAGGATGATTTATCAATTTTCTATTTTTTTTCAATTAATCATAACTTATGAACCACCCTATACATTTTTGTGATATTTGGTGGACATATTTTTTGTCCACAGAGGCGACGATTGACATAATAAGATGAAATCTCATTCCAGGTCCGGCCTTAAAAAAATTAATAAGTAGGTTTCGAGTCGAAACAACACCCTGTATATCAATATTTTGGACTCTCATTCACAAATTTGAAAAGAGCAGGAAAAAATAAGTCAGGCTGGATGTATTTTGTGTTTCCGCATACAACTTTTATACCTATTAACTTGAGTCAAATCTAGATGTTTCGATAATGAGGTGGCACAAAATTGAAAAAAAAAATTAATTGTCGTCCCCAAATGGTACTTTTCCATTTTCATACCATGAAATCATCAACTATTTCTTACTCTCCTAATTTTTGGATCCCAACCTAATTGGAAAACGAGAGGGCAGGTCCGTATTTGGGACGAATAATTATTATCAATGACTAACTATAAACACCTTGTATGTGCAAGAAAATTGTCATAACATTTCTTTATTGCCCTACATTTGAAACAACAATTATCATGGAAATAAAGAACAATGCCCATTCTGGAAAAAGCATGCGTCCTCAATTCTCCTTAGGAGGTCCTCTCTAGTGTTAACCTCAGTTGAATAAACTTTCGATTTCAAATAACCCCAAACATGGTAATCGAGTGGATTAAAATCTGGGCACCTTGCAGGCCAGT